CTACAACTCGCTTTGTCATTAGAAAATGCAGCAAGTGGAGCATGTGAGCTGCAGGATATCCCAATGGAAGTGCCGGATACCCTTCCTGTCCATCTGAGCTTGGAGAATACCACTTGAGTGTAGGCAATCATGGAGGGCATATCCTGAGCAGAGGGACCCTAGGTCAACCCACAGCAAAACCCCAAAACAAATGGCTAAAAAGTTCTTTAGGATACAGGTTGGCAAGCCATTGTAGTTACTGCTGGTATGCGGAATCGAGACAGCAAAGGAGGCCTACAAGGCCTGACTTGAGGAAGAGAACTCCCAGGCTGGTATCTAGGAGAGTCCTTCCCCAGGAAAGTCCTATTTACATATGGTTTGAAGCAGTTAAATTTCTAAGCAACGTCCAATTCAGAACTAATCAAAGTAAATGTTTGGTTAAATGGTTGATACCGGCACAGCTGTATCAGTGGTTGTAGACCAGTCTTTAACAAAATTCGCTGTGGAGTCCAACTTTTAGCTCTGTGCAAGACCTCGGCCAGACTGACAACCAACATCGGGGAACTAATACAGATTACTAATCTTGATTGGGCAGAATTGGTTGAGAAAGATTCATCTTGATTGGCTCAACATTTTTCAATTAGAAAATGGCTGCCTGAATGAAGTCCTAAATAAATACCCAGAAGGTTTTCAGGAAGATCTAGGGACCATCAAGTGTGCCAAAGCAACCTTGCATGTCGACCAGGAAGCAAATCCATGATTCTGCAAGGCCCACCCAGTGCCATTTGCCTTGTGAGCAAAAGTAGAAGGCAAATGAGGAGGCTGGAGAGCGAAGAAATCATCAAACCAGTGCAGTTTGCGAAATGGGCAGCACCAGTCGTATTGATTGTGAAGCCTGACGGCTTGGCTCACCTTTGTGGGGACTTTAAGCAAAGAGTAAACCGCTTCTCACAGCTGGATAAATACCTGATCCCCTGTGTAAAGGACCTGTACACAAAGTTGCTGGGGGTTGGGTGCTGTCCTTTTGAGCCATACCTACCTTACGACTAGATGAGGGTCCCAGAAGTATGCTATGATTAATACCCGTAAGGGTTTGACCAATAAAGGGGACCATTTCTGGATATCATCAGCTTCTGCCTCTGTCTAGCAGATGCTGGAGAACATTTTACAAGGTATGCCCCAGGTCACCATTTATCTAGATGGTGTACCAATAACTGGGAAGACCAATAAAGAACACTTGGAGAACTTGGCCATAGTACTTAAATGTTTCTCCCAGGTAGACGTCCCAGGTAGAAGGGCGAAATGTGTGTTCCAGGCACCCCAGGTGACCCACTTGGGATACAGAGTTGCCAAAACCGGGTTACACCTGTTGGAAGAGAAAGTGAGGGCAGTCAAAGGAGCCCCAGCTCCCACGTCTGTACTGGAGCTTAAGTCTTTCCTTGGGTTAGTGAATTATTACGGGTAATTCATACATAACCTGGCCTCCATCTTGGCATCCTTACACCTGCTATTGAAAAAGGGTCAGCCTTGGAAATGGTCATGTAGCCAAGAAGTAGCCTTTAACCAAGAGAAAAAGTAGCTATTGTCATCTAAGATGTTGATCCACCAAGATCCCAAATGAGAGGTGGTGCTGACATGTGATGCCTCCCCATACAGTGTCAGGATAGTGTTGGCTCACCGTTGGCCCAATGGAGAGAAATATCCGATAGCGTATGCTTTGGCTGATGCCGAACACAAATACACTGAGATAGAGAAGGAAGGTTTGGCATTCATCTTTGGTATGAGAAAATTCCATCAGTACCTTTATGGATGTAGATTTAACATAGTAACGGACCACAGACCCCTGCTAGGGCTACTTAAAGAAGACAGGCTGTGCCATCCATAGCTTCTTGTCGAATTCTGTGGTGGGCCCTTATTCTCAATGCGTACAATTACAAGATGGAACACCATCCAGGAAGCCACGTGGCTAATGTGGATGCCTTGAGCTGCCTCCTACTGGCAGTTACACTACCGGTGGTGCCTCCCCAGAAGCATCCGTTCTGGTTTTAAACCTTCTAGATACACTTCCAGTCACCACTGACAATATCCGACTGTGGACACAAAACAATCCCATTCTAGCAAAACTAAAACAGCTGATGGTGATGGGGGATGCAGAAGAGCCATCACAACCAGGACTGAAATGTTTCTGGACCTGGTGAGACCAGATCACCGTTGAGGACGGCATCTTACTGTGGGGAGCATGAGTGATTGTCCTTAGTAAAGGTCGCTGCCAGATACTGACTGAACTCCACCAGGGTCATACATGGGTTTCCAAAATGAAGGTGTTGGCAAAAAGTTATGTCTTGTGGCTGGGATTGGATGCTGACATAGCTGCATTGGTGGGGCAGTGCCCAGAGTGCCAACGAGGACAAAAGTTGCAACCAGGAGTGTCCCCACATTTATGGAAATGGCAGGGAGAACCGTGGACTCAGCTACATGTCGACTATGCTAGTTCTTTCATGGGCTCAATGTTCCTGATCATTGTTGATGCCCATTCAAAGTGGTTGGACGTGCATAGAGTTCATTCAGCAATCTGAGGTATGACAATTGAAAAGCTGTGAGCATTGTTTGTGATACGCGGATTCCCAGAAATACTGGTCACAGACAATGGGATGTCATTTACTAGCAGGGAATTCAAATATTTCTTAAAGTCCAATGGCATTCGGCATATAAGGACAGCTCCATACCATCCATTGTCCAATGGTCTGGCACAGACAGCACTCCAAACATTGAAGTCAGTCTTAAAGGAACATTCTACAGCTTCACTCGACACCAAACTGTCCTTCTTCCTGTTCGGTTATAGGACCACCCCTTGCATAACTCCAGGGATAGCTCCAGCAGAATTGCTGATGGGGAGAAGACTCCATATCAGATTAAATCTGATATTCCTGGACTTGCAGGGAAAGGTGAAATGGCACCAGGAACACCAATGCCAACCACATGCTTCCTCTAAGCGAGAGAGATAGTTTAGTTCAGGGGATGATGTTTGGTGTCAAAACCATGGACATGACCCTGCATAGGCACAAGGTGAGGTTGATGTGGGGTCAGGTCCCATGACATACAAAGTTCGAATAGGTGAGGTGGTTTTGAACAAACATGTGGATCACCTGAAAGCTGTCACCTCAGAAAAGGGGCAGGAGCAAAGTATACCTGGCCCCTCAGAACGGCTAAAAAAACTGTCAGAAACCGTGGGTTCTCCCCTTCCTTCTAACATCAAAGAAACTTCAGAGTCCAGGATGGATGAGCTTTGATACCATTATCACTTGAAGAAGGGGAGGAAACTCTCCCGAGATGCTTTGGCGCAAGTGATTGGCTATGGTTTGGTACATGCTGCCCGTGTCTGAGTCAGAATCGGAGGAACCGGACCTGGGGTAAAAATGTCCCAGGAGAAGCTACAAGAAAAAGAACAGGCCTACATCGCCGGACTTAGTGTGGGGAGGAATGTAGTGATTGGAACCAGGGCCAGGTAGATCTCAGTGATTGGTGTTGGTATCGTTGGGCTAATCAGAAAGCCCTGGCTGATAGAAATAAACGGGAGATTCAGAGAGTCTCTTCATTCCAGCGACTGGTTATGACCCTATACTGTGTATATGTAAAGAAAGGGTGACTTGCTGGGACACCGGCCTCCTTGGAGTTTTTTCAGCCTCAAAAGTGGCAAATAACATCCATGCCACCAGAGTGCTGGAAAATGACCAACACAAATGAATCTAACCATCGTCTCTTGTCATTCCATGGCAGCATCATTGCTGAGTCCCCACCATCAACATCCTCTGGCTCACAACTGACCAGAAACTGAACTGGGCTAGCCAGATAAATAGGGATCCTGAAGTGAATAACCAATCTCCTGACTCCCCAAATCCTGTCCACCATTTTCAAAGCAAGAGTTATGAGTGTGATAGAATATGCAGCTCCAACAACACTCAAGAAGCTTGACACCATCCGGGAAAAGCAACCCACATCCACAAACATCTACTCCCTTCTTCACTGATGCTCATTAGTAGCAGTATGTATCATGTATAAGAAGGCAGCTCACCACCACCTTTTCAAGGACAGGTAGCTTCTTCTTCAGGTGGTAATGGTATCGAAGCTCTTCCATCCTGGACTCTGCAGTTTCTTTGATGTACCTTTTTGAGTGCTGGTCCAAGCCAGCGGTGGCAAAATCCCATGAACAATTAAAACGAAGAGTAAGGGGATGACTTTCTTCAGGTCCCTCGCTTCCCATTGCCTAGTTCCTTGATCAGGCCTTCAGTTCTTTAGAATGAGGTGCCCCCTCTCCTCCCTCTGTCACCTCTTTTTGGCCTCCTTAATGGTGAGACCCTCACCCGCTGTTGGATGAACCAGTAAATGTAGGGTGAGGCTATTAAATCAGCACTAATTGCCCATTTAATGGCATCAATTATAACTCAAACAACGAGGCTTTCTGGCCACAATGCGGGCAGAGGTAGAAAGGTGGTGAGGTTACCATTTACCCAGCTGATTAAATATTCCCTGATCAAACACACTATCAGGAAAGGGCATTAAATTCCAACCATTACCTCTGCAATGTTGGAGTTAACTGGCCTTGTGTTAGTATATCCCATAATTAAAACATTTAAGGGTCAATTTTCTTTGACATGCTGTATGAATAATGTTCAGACTACATACCAAAAGTCCTGGTTGGAGTGTAGTTGTAATAATTACAATTCCCAATCCCTATCACAAGTGGGTTTCCACAGGTAACCCACACTTTGTAGCGTCAGTAAATCTACACTGACCTATTCAGTGTGGTGTGTGTTTGCAGTGTCATCCTCGAATTGTCACAGTGTAGTACAGATTAGTTCAATTCCTCACACTAATGACACACAGAAGAGTAGATAGCAAAAGGCAATTAAAATTCTTGAAAACAAATTCTTTTGAGGGTGCATTTCACAGTATCGAGATATATCTTCGAACAGGGAGACAGTTCTTTGTCGGAAAGTCCTGGCACAAGAGCTGGAGGAGGGGTTACGTGCTTACTGAGTGTAAAGAGGCGCCCTGGACCGTACATTAGCAAAGTGAGCTCCAATAGCTTCGGACGGACCTGCCGCTTCAGGCAGCTCTAAACTTAGCGCTGGATATTCCAGAATTAACTAGGGCTTTATACAGCTGTGGGGCACAAAGTTAGAGCCAGCCGTGTTCTGTGAAAGGGGCTTTGTGTTTGGACAAGCTGTAAACCTATTTACAATGTGGGGGAGAGAATTTAGCACATTTTTTCAGGCTCTGTGAGCACTATAAAGTTCTCTGAGAGCAGCAGAGGCTCTCGTTCGATGACAAGTGCAAATTTGAGTTGCAAGATGAAAGTTTCCTCTCAATAAAGTAACAAAAAATGAGCTTTTGCGTGAATGGAGTAAGAAAACTAACTGAATGGGAGAGCTTTCGCGGAACCATTCGCATTTGAAACCTTTTAAGAACTATGAACGACCACCTCTGACTGGTACTTCAACGTCTTTAGTGGAAGAGTGCAATTAAAAAAAAACTGGTAAACAGACTTGAAGTTTTGGGGAATTTCTGAAGAAGGATTTCTTTTCCCAGACCTCCTCCATTCCCTCCCCTTTTTTTTTATCAGACTACTTATCCACTGAAGGAGTCACATTCATGAATTGCTTCTCCAACTGCTAATCACTTTTCTGAGTTCAACAGAGCTCTGAATCCATCGGGTCATGCTGCATTCTCCGAGTCTGCAGCTCTGGAGAGACCTTACAGTGATTGCAGTTGAATGCAGAACTTTGATCGTTATGAGTGGGGAGTGTTGACCCTTAGCACAGGCATGTTCTTCAGAATACAGACGGTGGGGGCGGATCATACATCCTGAAACGATGCTGTTATTCGATGGGATATCGGCTGCACTCTGAGGAAGATGGTAAACCTTTTTTCTATCCCCAACCCCCAACTTTCAAAATGCTGGCCTTGACAAGTTTGTAGCTGGATTGTGACCATGTCAAAGTATCGAGTACTTCAGTGAAATTTCTAAACTTAAAAAAAAGAGAGCAGTATTTCAAATATTAACCCATTGAGAAACATTCTTTGGAACATTATTCAATATTAGAACAGTACAGAAAGGAATCTTATTGGTATTTTGTGTAAGAAAACTGTTTACTAAGCTTGTGATTGATTGCAGATATTGCGATTTGTGTTTTTACTTCCTGAAACTAGACTCAAATGTTATCTTTGCTAATTGTAGAAATAACAGGCATAAGTGATACGTATGACTGTTTCTAGTAGACCTATTTTATAAATAATATTGGAAATAATTAAATTTCATGATTAATAGAGAGTTCATTTATGTTTCATATCTGTCTTATTATTTTGAATGTCCTGCCAGAACAAATTCATCTTTGAGAATCTCCAATGCATCGAGGACATGTGCGACACAGGCACAAATCAAAGCTGGTTATTGCCACTGACTGGGGGAAAGTTACTTTCAGTGGTATAGCTTATAGGATTTTGTCTTCTGGATATGATACAATTAGCAGGATTAGTGGGAACCTGGGTGTGGGAAGCTTGCAAGGGAAAGTATTAGAGTAGTCTGGTCTGGAACATAGATGTTTTCCATTCATTAGGAAGAATGTGGTCATCACTTCCATGGCCAGCATTTGTTGCCCACCCCTCATTGCCCTTGAGAAGGTGGTGAGGAGCTGCTTTCATGGACTGCTGCAGTCCCTGTTCTGTAGAAATACCCACTCCTGGCAGGGAGCTACAGGACTTTGACCCAGCACCAGTGAAAGATTGGCAATATATTTCTAATTCAAGTTAGTTACTAATATTGTTTGAGAGGTCCTTAAGGAAAAACAAAAGTTCAAAACATGAACGAATTTCTCCTTGAGATAGAAAGTGAAGTAGTCCAATCTAAACCTAGGTTCATAAATATTAACAAAGGAAACTACAAACATATACGGGGATGTGTTGACCACGAAAGACTGGTTAACTTCATTAAAAGGCATGACAGTAGATAGGCAGTGGTTAATATTTAAAGAAAAATGTATACATTATGGCATTTATGCATTTCACTCGGGTGAAACACCACAGCAGGGAAGATAGCTGAACCAAAAAAGTAAGCAAAAATAAATTTCGATAGTATTAAATTTAGATAATAATAAAGATACTTAGTATTAGATTCAAAGAAGAATCCTATAAAGTTTCTAGAAGGAGTAGCAAACTCTTTAGAATTTTGAAAAACAAGACCAAGAGGGTATGAGGTAAAAATATGAGTACGAGTGTAAACTTGCAAGGAACACAAAAAGTGGACTGTAAGAGCTGAGAAAGTATGTAAGGAAAAGTCGAGTTATGACAAATGTAGACCTTTAGCAGTCTGAAATGAGATAATTGGTAATAGAGAACAAGGAAATGGCAGAGCAGTTAAACAACTAATTAAACACAGAAGAAGACATAACAACTTCCCAGAATTGCAAGGGAAACAACGGTGATAGATTGAAATGTTGATTAACAAAAGGATCAAGGAGATCCTTGTACACCAGTCAGTGAAAGCGAGCATGCAGGTGCAGCAGGCAGTCAGGAAGGTAAGTAGTGTGTTGGCCTTCATTGTAAGATGGTTCGAGTAAAGGATGAAAGAATTCTAACTTGAGCTGCACAAGACTTTGGTGAGACCCATGCTGTGAGTATTGCATGCAGTTTTGGTCTCCTTATCAAACGAAACATGTACATTCCATAAAGAAAATGCAGTGAAGGTTCATAACCCTGATTACTGGGATGGCAGGTTTGTTGTATGAGAAGAGATTAGGTTGACTGGGCCTGTATTCACTGGAGTGTGAAACAAAGGAAAGAGATCCCATTGAAATATGTGACATTCTGACAGGTCTGGACAGACTGGGTGCAGGGACAATGTTTCCCCTGGCTAGGGATGCAGAACAAGAAGTCAGGACACACTCTCTGCCATTTTGGCATGACATTATGGGTGGCAAACCTGTAAAATTCTCCACCACAGAAGGCCGTGGAGTCCCATATCGGGATATACTTAAGGAAAAATGAAGCTCTGCATGCTAAAGCTGTCAAGCATATTGGGAGAGAACAGGAGTATGTTTTCAAGATAAAGGATCAGCGGTGACTGTGGTGATGGCAGATTCGGTTCTTTTGATCAAAAGGCCTAGTTCAGTTTTTAATTCCTGTGTTTCTACGTGTGTGACTTGGAGTGAAACTTGCATGTGATGGTGTATCCATTGCAACTGCTGTCCTTGACCTTCCAGTTGGTTTGGAAAGTGCTGTCGAAAGACCTTGGCGAGATGTTGCTTTGAGTCATGCTGTCACTGCTAGTGGTGGAGAACAGGGGTGCTAAAGGTGGTGAATCGGGTACAATTCAAGCAGGATGTTCTCTCTTAAATGATGTGGAGCTTCTTCTGTTGCAGTCACACTCATCTAGGCAAGCCAAGAGTATTTCATCGTATTCCCTCAACTTTCTCTCGTAGATAATGGACTGGTTTCGGGCAGTCATTAGGTGGGATACGCAGACCAGAATTTCCAGCCTCTGATCTGATCTGTTATTCATGTAGTTGGTCTGCTTAAACTTCTGGCCAATGGCAACTCCCAGCATACTGACGATGGGAAATTCAATGCTGAAACTATCATTAAACGTCATGACATATTGGTTACCACACAACTCTCTTGTTAGTCATTGCTTGGCTTTTTGTGTTCAGTGGCAAATCGCCTGGAAGTGGGTGATATTACAGTGATAAAAATAGTCTTTGTGATGGTAAAGATTTTGGGATTGAGTTTTTCTGAACTTCTGTTTCACCCACCACTGACACTGAAAACAAGTATTAAGTCCATTTAGATGACGGTACTCTAGGCGATGTGTTTCTGGTAGCAATCAATTAAGGGGGTTGTTTTCTCATAACAGAGATATTTGAGATTCCACAAATAAAAAATATGCATATAAGATTCATTTTTCAGGAGCAGAGAGTCTATTTAGTTGCAATTATGAACAAAATTTACTGTTAAGATCTGAAGTACACTTCAATTAGCAAAGCTTAACTTGCTCAAAGGTTTTTACAGTGAGACTATTATATAAATAAATGTCTATGCCAATTCAAATGATTTCTAAAGATTTCCATCTCCATGGGGACTTCCACAGCATCCCCCATGGCAAAGCATGAAATCATAGATGGCAATGTCTGAATTTTTGTGTTTAGTTTTGTATAAGTGTATACCAGAAAGTGCTGACTTTTTTTGTTGCCATGACACCTGTAAAGGGTAATTTGTCTCTGGACCATTTGCCCCAGAAAGTAAGTATCGTTAAATTATTGAAGCACCTTACATATGTGTCTTCAGGTTATTGATTGGGGAATGTTTTCTCCTTCTTTATTCTTTCTAAATGCCTTTATTGAATTTCCTCTTTTCCTTCTCTGCTTTAAAAAGAAACTCACATTCTTCATTCATCCTCATAACTGTAATCCCATAACCATTTTCCTGCAACTTTGGTGGAAGGGGCCTTTTAGTCCTGGACCAAGGTACAGCTTTGAGATTGGCATTTATAGTTTTTTTTAAGTTCAGTCACTGATGTAGTGGGAGCTTTCTTGAATGATTGTGGTGCTTAACAAAAGGTTAAAATAATTTGTAAAAAACCAACCAGTATACTTGGGCTCCTAATATACTGCAGGCATTGATAATGCTAATAAATCTCCAAGTTAGTCAATAAAATTGGCAGCTATTTCTCCTGCGCTCTAAATTGTGATGATTGTTTGAAATTTGGCTTTCTTGCTTTTGTCCTGATGAGCGCAAGATAAAAGCCTTCAGAAGCATGTCTCCCTTGTCAGTAACATTCAAGGTCTAATAAATTCACTAAGTACTAAACAATGGGCCTATTTTACTGGATCTGCTACAAACAATCTTGTTCTGTCAATAAAAAAAGTCACACTTTCCTCCACTTTGTTTCTGAAATATTGCTAAAAACAAACACAAAATTGAAACTTTTCCTCTTGCACTCATCAAGATTGTGATGCAAGAAACCAAACTTAGAAAAGTAACATCAACTTAAACAGCACAAGAAGAAGGTGGTGTTTGTTTCGATTATGGTTGGCATGGAAATGCAGCAGGAACTGTTAACTGTCAATCTTCATCAGCAGATTAACCTCAAATCTGTCAGATCTTCCCTGATTGGTCAGGGCACTGCCATGTCAAATGTAATAGTAGGGATTAGTATTCTACAGAACCCTTTCTTGATGGAAAAGGTGCAATATATGCACATTAACTCCTTTCACCAACAGAGAATAGGATGGTGGTTTTGAATATGTATAACTTTGAGCACAAACATGAAATGCTCTGCATGCCTTGCAAATAATAATCTTCAATTGGGTCCTGGTGTAAGGCTTAGTGCAGCCTGGATCATTCAGTAAATGCTGTCCAATAGCAGAATCACATTAAGTACTAGACACTGTTTTGAGACTTGCAAGGATTGGTTGGTTGGAACACTGCTCACTATGTACAGTTAGAAAGATATGTTATTTGTTATGGCCTGCCAATACTTGAAACATATGGCCTATGTACCTAGCATCACTTTAAAACACATATACCACATTACTTATTTGTGTGGTAGGGACAATGTCTTTTTGGCTTGATGGCAGCTTCCTGTTAGTGGGGAAAGCTACTCACGTGTTTGCTGCAAAATAGCAACATGAGATGTGTAGCTTCACCAATTTTTGAGACACTTGCCCTTTCCATGGCAACCTAAGTTAGACTGGACAGATTTCAGGGCCAAGAGTGTAATCATAGGGCTTTACATGAGTTTCTGTGATCTACATAGAGCGATGAATGGATCAAGGTAGCTGTAATCGCATAGGATAGATTTACTGTATCCTATCTCATCATCAAGCTTACGTGGTGAGCAGATAGATATTCATATTCTCATGT